ATGTTTAGAAAAGATTTAGTTTGACAAGCCAGTTCAAAGAAGGTATGTTTACTAATAGGAGTCCAGAATATCCTGGTATCCTTAATTCACACAGATGTTCAGGAGCAACTACCAAAAGAGTTCATGAAAGAACAGTTTGGCTCAAGTAAAAAGAAAGATATAAACTGATCACGAAAAAAGTTAAAGATGAAAATAAGAAGGCTTATCATTCTAGAACAACTTTTCAATCATTAAGTTGATGGCAACAATCTGACTAGTTTTAGAATGGAATTTAGTAGTTACTTAATTTTTTATTAATTGCTGCTGCTGCCAATATGACAGGATTGCAATTCATAACCCAAGAGAGCTTCTGCAGTCCTAAATACTCAACAGAGTGATGAACCTTCAAATCATTCTGAATTTGATTAAATCAAGGCTAAATTTCCAGTTTAGAGTTTAAATATTTTAAATTCCATCCACCAAGAATAGCATAATAACAATCTACAATTGAAACACCTGCCAGAAAATAAGAAGTTTGGAAGCATCAGGGAATCTGAGAAATATCATAAAACCTCCAGATAGCACACAAAGACATTTGTACTTTATTCATTAATTGTCCTGTCAAATAAGAAAAAAGAAAATCCACACTTATCTTCACTTTGTAGAGCTTTTTGAAATACACCACTTGTTGCATGGCTGATTTTTAATCTCTTTGCAGTAGGTTTGAGCTCTACTGTACTTTGAAGGTCTGGACTCTTTTTAACATCTGGTGTACATATGTAAAGGTTGGTCTTTTAAGACCTAAGGTCGAAGGTACTTCCAAACCAGCATTTGACCTTCCTGAAAGTAAGATCTTGAGAAAGGACATTTCATGGCAGTATTGTCTAAGAACAGAGAACAAAAGATCTTTTTCATCTTAGCCGTAACTGGGTGATCTACACTCATGGGTAGTTCAAAAGTTCCTCCATGTTAGAAGTTGTTCTGTGAAAAGTTCGTATCATACCCTGTCCATTACAGATTGTTCCTGAAGAAAGCCTAATGATCAAAACCAATTTGCTAACTCTATTTTAAGAAGTACTTTCAAATTTGAGTAGTAACATTGAACTAAAGGGTTTTTATGGACTCCTGGGGCAAGAAAACTTATGGCTCACCAGGCCTAACTCCCAGAAGCCCACAAACACCAGAAGATTTATGGTTCTTTCCTGAGATACCATCTCCGCTGTGATCAGCTGTATTACAAGTCCATTTCCCAGCCTGGTATCTCACCTTCAGTGCTCTTCCCTTTGTAACAGGGAGCATGTCCCTGCTGGATTAATTCCCCATCCCAGTTAATTTTTTTTGAGATAATTACAGGTGAACAACTCACTGGGACACCACATCTGGGTTTCTTAGTCTACTTTCTCCCTCCTTTATTATTTCCATGTGAAATTTAAATACTGCCTTTATTAGCTACATCACTGTTTCAGCTCTGAGAGCCACCTTTATGGGATATAGCCCTTATCCCTTTCATTTCTTTTCAAATTTTGGGGGCAATAGCACACAGATGGTTCCTGAGGTTTATGGAGAAGCTGAAGACACCAACAGTGATGCTGAGGCTGCAACCTGCCCATGCAGCAACTGTGGGTGTCTCTAGGAACAGTTATATTTTCAACATTTTGTAGTCCTAATTATCAGCCCTTGTCCTGTAAAGCACTCAAAATATTTCTTGTGTTGCACATATTTTAGCCTTAATTTAGGCATAGACTTCAGAACTAAATTTTATGAGTTTCACCAAAGAACAAATTAGAGTCATGTTGAGGATTCTGGTGTGTATCAATATTCTAGTCACAGTCTTATAAGCTTGAATGGCCATAATTAAAACACAGACAATATTTGCATCACAGAGAATCCAGGCACTTTTAGGACTATTCAAGAGCTGAAGAAAATCAACATCGTGAAATATGCAAATTGCTAATGGGTTATTGCATTAAACACTATTAATTTACAAGGATTTAGATCCAATTAAATATTCTCAAGATTGTATCACTAAAACTGCTCTGTTAGTTAGCAAGTGTTAGAAAATAATTCCACTATTTGAGGCTGCTGAGTAATTTAATTGGTATAATTATTGCTTTCATGTTTAGACTGGTGGTCACAAAATAAGTATCTGACAAGACATGTCTTGAAACCAAAGATCCAGCGATCAGATATTTAGACATTAATATATTATCTCTAGAAACCAAAAGCTAAAAATAAGTCATTTTAGCATAGACCAGAAATAAGCAAAATGCAAATTCTAGCCCTCTGAATAGTTGAGGGAAGAGTATGTACAACCTACCTCCCACTGCCAGGTTCTTACATTTTGGAAATACAGAATCTAGGTTTTCTGTAGATGCAGTGATTTCAATACCATTGCTTTCACCTTCACCAAGACCACAAAGCCCAGCATGAAAATGGATGAGACTTCATTAGATAGAGCCAAGGACTCAGCTGCAAAACAGCCCGTTTTATAAACTTCTGTGCTGGTATGATGCTTTCCCCACCTCTGCCCCCTATCCATATTAAGGAAGAACCTCTGGATCTTGATGTGCTAGGAAAATTTACTTTAGTACATAAAAAAATCATTCAGAATGGATTTGCTCAGTTGTGATATTAAAGGCTGCTTCATTTTGGGTTCACTGTACTGGGCTTTTATTTAACCTTTTTTTTTTTTTTGTATTGAGCACAGATGTCCTTAAACTACAAGATGATATTATTATTATTATTATTATTGTTATTGTTATTGTTATTATTGTTATTATTATTATTATTCAAGCCACAAATCTCATTAGGCCACGATCTCTATGACCTACATCTCAAAGCTATTTTGTTATTAATATCCTGATGCAGCAGGTTATGCTACCCCTCTTCCTCCCTGGATCCACCTGCTCCATTCAACTTGCCAGCCCTCTCTTCCCAAAGTATTTCCCTGTAATCTTTGAAAGAAAGATGCACCTTTGTGATTAACCATACCTGAAAAACCATTTTAAACAAAACACAAAAAATACTTACAAAAGCAAACCATATATGCTACCTTTACAGCAGACTGATATTTACTGCTCATTTCAAGGTCACTGCATTATTATGTTGAAATCCATGTTTCCAAATGCCTCAAATTAAATCTGCACACCTACAGACCTATCAAAAGAAAGTCATTAGTTTATTTCCTATGTCCTGACACTGCAAAATCTAAAATTCCTTTTTACCAAAATATTCCCCCCCCCAAAAAGTATCCATTCAAACTATTAATAGAGATCTCAACCCATTGTGTTATTTCATGAGACCAAGAGTCAGGATTTAGAAATGCTGCTCCTTCATTACCACTGCAGAGAAAGACCAGCCTTTCCAAATAATACTATGTATCTTAGCAAAAGTATGGTTTCAGTGAATATACTATTCATTTCAACCTAGAACAGAAAACATTGCACTCAAAGCTGTTTTCTACCTTTAGTCACCACCTAAACAGAGAAAGTGCATCAAAATCCTGTTAGGATTTAAGGTATTTAAAATGAGGAGTCACCAGAACTGACAATTTTCTTGGGCACCCAGAAGGCAGACCCTCATCATGGGGCATTCAGAGCCCAGCAGCCCACCTTCCAGGCAAACCTGTGCACCACCCTTTTTCAGTTCTAAATACATCTGCCTCAGATGCCTTTGGAGCATTGATAACTTTTCATTGTCAGCTGGAATCATCAAGTCATATTAAATTTTTATGACTTCCAATGCACATCCCTGAAGACCAATGGCACACTGCAATACACTTCAGAACTGAAGAGAAGAAAGACAGCATTGAAGGGTCTAATTTGTCTTAAGAAAACAACTCTGCCTTTCAAAGCATGTTCAAAAATCACATAAATAACTGTGCAGTGGAGAAAGACAGTTTATATTATTGTTTATTTCCTCTCCATTTTACGAGCAAGACATTGTGAAAAAAAAAAAAGTCTTTAGAAATATAGGATTAGACTGTACTTAACCAGTACCTCACCAGCACTCAGCCTCCCATCCCAGTGGCCAGGATGAGAAGGTAGCCACTTCCTACCTAGGTGCTGTTCCTACCAGAAGGACAGGAGCCCTCCCAGAATTATTGTTTCCTCATTCAGCTAATCCAGTGTATTACCTTGTATAGAACTATAAGTAATGAAGAAAATTAAATAAAATCCAAACCCACAAAAAACAACAAAACAGCAAAAAACATCTCTAAAATCTGGGGAGGATATATTATTTTTCTGTCAAGTTTAATGGCTCAGTACCTCAGTCACAAAGGCCAAATCTCAAAGAGGTCCTGGGCAACGAAACCTCTGGTTCAGTCGTGCATTTTTTACTAAGTACTCTGAGTAAACATTTCTCCAATTTGTCAGTCTTTCCACTTCATTGAACATTCTTTGTTGTTGTGCTGTGATACAAAATAAGCATCATGTCATGCTTTATTTTGTGTGTTTGTATCATACCATTTCTGATCTATCTTCTCTCTAAGTGTTATCTATGTATCCACAAATTGTCCAGAAGTTGTGAGTGCCTAATCTTGAACATTCAGACACTGCATGTATCCAGTCTGACTGATGAACAGAAATAATTCACTAAATGTACTAATGGACTGTTAAGTATTAATAGATCAGCCAGGAGTATGGACTTGTGGCTCAGTTCATCCTCAAAGACACTGGTGTCTTTTCAACATGAAAAGAAAATTATTAAACATTTCAAATGAAGCAACGTTAGGATGATGGTATCAGGATCCAGTAGAAATTCTTAGGATCGGATTAAAAGCATTGAGGAGTCCAGAATGACACTCTAGGGTCACTCGGGTGTGTAACTGCAACAGACATGAAGATTTCTAATTAAAACCAGAGATTAAATCCCCCTATTTTCCAGTTGCAAAAATTAGAAGATATTTATCAGGCTTTTTAAAGTTATTATTGAGGTAAAACAGTGTGGAGAAAGGGCAATCACTCAATCCTCCAATGCAGGAATTATCTACTGGATAAATCAAAACATCTTTTTCCTACCTGCTTTCCAGACAAACTGATGACCTCTCCTGGCTTCCAGATCAGCTGTTTGTAACATCAAGAAAACAAACAAAAGGAAGGACTTTCCCAGGCTGTGCCATGCCCAGTGAGGAGAAACCCAGTTCTGTTGTAGAAGCATAATTCAGATAATTCAGTCTCTTGTCTTCTTTGGTCCTAGAATTAACAAAACAAGATAAAAGCTTGCTAAAAGACTTAAAACACCCAGACAATAGGTTCAGCCTAAGGGCAACCTGGTGGCCACAGTGCATTTCATAGTCCCTGTGCACCAGACTGGTTGAGGACAAGCCTGTTATGGAGGCTGCACTCGAAGACAGAGGGAAATGCAGTGAGAAGGAAGAGAGAGAAGAGAGCCAGCTCCCAGAGGACCTGTAGGCCTGTCCCTCAATGCCAGCCAACTTAAGTGCTTTTAGCAGGTTCTCAAAAAGAACTCTACCAGTGCAAATGGAGAGGGATCTGATAATGGGTCTGTGATGTGTCCCCTCTTTTCTCAATTTAATTTATCCGTAGCGTGAATATCGTTTTATAGGCAGATTAAGCCAAAGCTGAGAATGGATTCCAGGTGCAAAATCCAGCTCTGAATACAGACCTCATGTCCTACATTTAAGATCTCTGAAAACTGAAATTGTTTTAGATCCATATGATGTGTGAACATTGGATGCATAAAAGCAACATGAGAAACTCAGCAGGAAAAGCAGGGAAGCAGGGGCTGCTTATCAGTACATTATGATCCCATCTGCAGTGGAAAACTAGACATTACTCTGACATTTCTCTGGAATTTGGGATTCACATTTAAGACCCTGATCTTTGGGCTCAACTGGTTACTCCAGAGAGGTCTCTCTCTGACTCAGGGATTTTAATTAGGCTCTCCAACACTTCAGACAAATACCAGAGTCATGTTGTGATTGATAAAGGAATCGATCAAATCCTGTTGCTGAAGCAGTTTTACACTGTACACCTCATTAAAATAATCACTCTGTGGCATTGAAAGCAATAAAAAATGTCTCTCTGGGTCTTCTACACAAAGCAGGAGCCCAACATCTCAATGCTCACTGCAGTGAACATTCACATTGTTTACATACCATGGAAAAGCTACAAAACAAGAGAGATTAAGAAAAGCATACAACAAAACAACATCTTAGAACTTCTGAATCAGCCCAAAAATTCAAATCTCTGTTTCTCTCATCCTCAGAATAGACCAACTAGCCACTTATCCAGGCAGATTTTACATGAGTTTCAAGCTATTTTGGATTCATCCACATTCAAGTGGGAACAGTTTCGAAGTCTCAAAAACCATCTATGGTATGTGCCATGTCAAACGAGTAAAGTTTCTGAAGTAAACTTATGTATTAACTTTTCCTTGTGTAATAACTTCATATTTATAGCACATTAAAATTCTCAACATAGTTTTACTTATTAGTGATTAATCCTACTTTAATAGGCAAAAAATGTCACATCCGTCTTAGCTTAAGGAGAGCAGTAACACCTGTCTCTGAGATTTGTCTTCATTGGCATAATCTTGGTGATCTTCACTAAAATTATCAGTTACTAGCAGTTCAGTCCACAAAATTCCATTATATTCCTAACCTTATGAAAAGCAACGTTGTCATAATACGTAATACACAGCATTATTCTTGATAAGAAACTGAAGATAAACCTGAAAATAGTACATACTGAATATACAGTAAAACTTTTAATTTCAGGCTGTATTTAAATGACTTTGAAACAGCTTCTATCATGATAAATTAATGCAATTATATTTAATCAGATATTGACTAACTACAGTGGAAGATACAATGTTATATCTGTTACCTGGTTTAGTTCATTCTTGCATTTCAGATGAACAGCATTCCAGGTAGAACCTGAAAACCTATCAAGATGACCAATACAGTAATGCAGGAAAGGAACCAGATTTATAGCTTTGCTCGTCTTCCGGGTTAATTTAATTCAGAATTCACATTTAATTTAGAATGTAACCTGCTGAGTCCCAATGCCCAGACAGTATGACACAGAACACAAGAGGCCTTATAAGAAGTGGAAGTGAAGCTCAGCAACCTTGAGCATCCTTCAGAAATGAGACTCAGAGAACCTCATTCCTCTCCAGTGCAAACACAGTCAGGAAAGTCCTTGTAGGTGGAAGAGGGAGGCCCTCAGGCACCCTGCAAATCATATTTTTTTGCCTGCCTAGATGGCTGCTCACCTCACACAGAAGAGCTGAGGAGGAACAACTCAGCCAGTATCTTCAGCATTGCAGTTACCATCTGTGACAGTCAGAAAACAGAGTCACCGACATTCTGTCAAGAGAAAGAGGAGGAATTAGTGACATTGGCTCCAACGCTGTTCACACCCAAAAATGCAAAACAAGAAAAGAAATTATTCAGATGCTGATTTAGGTACTGGAAAGGAGCCAGCATGCCCAGCCCTCTGCAGACAACACTCATCAGATTGCAGGGCAGCTCTCCAGGTGCAGAAGAACTCAGGAAAAACAACACGTCTTAACCAGGTGGGGGCATGAATCGGGCAAACCCAAGGAAACCTCAGATAACAGCTGATAAAGATGCCGAGATTTTTAATGAAGCACCAGCAGTGCTCATCAGCCCAACACACTGCCTTCATCTCAGCATTCAAAGGGTCAGTAAACAGCAATAAATCCCTGGAAGCAGCAGCCTCCTGCCCAAAACAAGGGTTTCACATATGTTCATTCCTTGGGCAGGACTACAAAGATAACTGGCTGCTGCTCCCCACGGAGCAAGAACAGAGATTACATTAAGTCAGTAAAAATAGAAATAAATTATACACCATGAGACTGATTCTAATCTCACCCACCCCAGCTGAGCTGAATAAGAGTCCACTGATTTACACCACAGCAAAGCACAATAAAAATGTGTCTGTATATCCAGGTTTGTACAACACAATTTGGAACGGCAGTGGTTCTGTCCTGATACGATAAAAAAATTATTGCACAGGCAACATATGCTATCTACAGAAAGATGAATAAATTACATTGCAAAGGCCACCAACACTTCACATCAAATTTAGTTATAGTCTATCTCAGCTCCCCAATGTGCCAGCATGGCTAGCTGCAAACTTCCAAACAGAGAGGAAAAATGGAGAAAAAACAATGATATTTACTTTTTAAAAACTGACTTCACCAAGACTAGTCATGCATGCAATTGATTAAATATGTTCAAGATATGTGTTTTACTCTGAAAAATATCTCCAAAACTGATTATCTGGTTCTACCCCAAACCCTTTATAATATGGGCCTTGCTAATTAAAATTCTGCACTAAAAGATTCTCATGGAATTAAATAATGAGGTCTTGTTTTCGCATACTTGATGAATTAGTCACAAGCCTCCTTTTATTTGTGTTTGGTTTGTACAGAACCTTGTTCAGGAAAAAAGGATATCATACATTAGCTGCAATGGCTGGGAATACACAGGCAGCCTTGAAAAAGCCATGTGCAAGTTTTCTAATGATCATAACAATGCATTTGCATTATGTAATCCACTGCTAATTATCTTAATGACAGGATTGAATCAATCTAATTTTAAATAACAGAACTTAATTTAGAAACCTACATTTCTGCTGAAAACACAGCATTCAGGTATAGTGTCAAAATGGTATAAATAAATGAATAAATAAATATGCATACAGCTGACAAATATCTTATTTTGCAAGTGTTCAAATCTTAATTTCATTTTCTATGTCAAGGAAATATCCAGAAGCTAAATCCTGGTCTAATCCCTGCTTAGCCTGGGAGGAAAAAAAGCCTCTGGGAAGCTTTTCCCATTTTCCAACCACTGCTCAGATGACCACAAGCTACAGATGTGCACTCAGAGGCAGATGTTTCCAAGCAACAGGCACAGGGCTAGCCCAAGACATTGTAGAGTTGTCTAAAGCATCCAACACTGAAAGACAAAAGATTGCTGATTTTGACTCCCCACTCTACACATACTGCACTGGTAGAGAAGGGACCAGTTGCTCTTTCTGCAAGTTTCCACGGGGCAAGAAGTTTCTTGGGTTGTTCTGCACCATTTCTGTGGTATAGGAAAGTTCAATGTGGCTCCGCTCCAACGTGGATTTATACAGTATTTATTACTGAACTTAGAAAAAGATCAACTTAAACCAATCTAAACCCAAAACATGATTCCAGCCTTGTCATACATCAGTTTCCTCTGAGTTCACTGGGAGTTGTGACCTTCCCCATCCCAGGTAAATCTGACCTCCTTATTTTGTATGAGAAGGGAATGTTGACAAGGACACCTAGGTAACATTTTCTACTGGAAATACATGATGCAATTAGAATAATCCCCAAAACTTTCAACAGCAACACAAAGGAATTGCAGATCCTGTGTGTGGCTATAATCACTTGGCAGGTGTCTAGCACAAAGATAAGCATTATTAACCAGGAATAAATTTTCTTAACACAAGCGTAAGCAGTAATTATGTGACTGTTTGCCAACTACACACAGAATAAAGCCATTCCTTCTGATATTCCAAGGTAATCTGGATGTTTATAGTGCAGTCCCCAGATACCAGTAAAATCTGCCTTGCCTTCTTCAAAAGCTGTTATCCAAAAAGCGAGTTCTATTTAGTCCCAGCCAGCAGAATGCCTGGCCTGTAGCAAAGACTGATCATCACAGACATGCACTGCAGACCATCCCTGGGGAGGTATTTCCAAAAAAACACTGAAGCTACAGCTACAGGTACAGAGTTTAACAGAATGAAAGTGTTTGCACAGTCTTATATATCAACTAGGAACAGACTTTCAGATATAGGTGCGTATGTGCCCATGGCACGGGTGTACATGCATACTGCCCAAGTTTTTATTTACTGACAGGTTACACTAAACTCCCTTTACTTCCATATGTAGAAGAAACACTACACATTTTTCCACTTATACATGGAGAAAGACAGTTTTCTGGTTGAAGAAGAGACACCCTAAATTCATTCCACTTCCAGCTGCATGAGGGACCACGTGTGCAAAAAGTGGCTTAAAGTCACGCTTGACAATAATACTTAATTCTGCAAGTGCTCCCCTAGATTTCAGTGGAGTGACTTTGCACATAGGAGAACAGCAGCTTGATTTTCTATACCTCTGGTTCTTCACCTCCAAAA